AAAATATATTTAATTAACAAATAAAAATTAAGGGATTAAGTTAAGTATTTAATCCACTCTATATTTAATTTGCCTTTTTCTTTTTGTTATATTCACGAAATTTTTTCCTGTCAACGCATTTTGCAAAGGAAAAGAGAAAAATCCCAGATAATTATGAGAAACCTTTTCAGATGGGTAATTCATTTTACAGGATTCTTTTACTGATAAATTTTCAAAAGGACAATTATACATATACCAAAAAAATCAACACCCATCTTAATATTCAAGGCTTATAAATAGTAAAATTATAAATTTACCCTTCTTCATTTTAACCTTAGGTGTTGAGATGAATGTTGATTTTTTAGGTGTATGTATAATTGTCCTTTGCAAAATTAGCTTTCTCCAGATTCTTCTTCTTCTCCTTCCATTGTTGAACTGATATTACATCCTATTATATCATTAAAAATATTGTAATATTTAATTACAATAATTAAATATATAAAATATAATATAATTTTAATTTTATTGAATTTATTATAAGATTGTTATTAAGTGTCTTAATGTTTTTAATATTATTGTGTCTTAATTTTTCCTTTTCTTTTTCAAAGAAAGAGATTTTTTTTTTTGAATTTTAGGTTATATAATAAAAAATAATCTTTTTTTTTTATCTTTTTATCTACGTATATCACTAAAATATTAATTATATACCTTAAATTTAAAATTTCTTATTTTTATTAAAAGTTATCATTAAAATATTTAGATAATTGTCAAAGGAAAGGAAAATTATTTTACTTTGCAGTGTCTCTAAAATGACCAATCTTATGTGCTGCAGTTACACTAATCACTTAGGGTACGGTTGGGATTACGATTAAGAAGTATTTTATGTAGTTATATAATATTTTTAAATATATGTATATTTGATAATTTTTTTAAATTACAAAAAATCATAGTAGATTTATAATAATTTTATATATAAAATTAAAAGTCTCATTTTTGGAATTTGTTGACTATGAATAGAGAATAAACAATATTTAATATAATTATAAAATTACTCATTAAAACTTAATTTGTATAATTTAATTATATTATAATTTATAATATTTTAATAATGATACCAATTCTTAAAAACTTAAATTATTAAAAAGAATAAATATTATCAATTTTAATAATTATATATCTTATAATATTTTTTAAATTTTAATTAATAATTAATGAATTTATCATATTTTATTTATAATATATTTAAAAAATAAATAATCAAATATTAAAATACTTTTCAATTACAATTACAATACAACACAATTCAACATAACTATTTTCACAATTATAATCATAATATTTTATAGTAATCATAAACACACCTTTCATCTGTAAGGCTTGGTACCAATATAGCTACGAGATATAATATCCCAATATGGCTACTAGATATAATAAAAGGAAATGATTGGTGAGCTCCTGTCCAAAGTGAGATTGTTGACATAAAATTGCAAGCCATACCTAAATCATTTCCTTGAAACAAATACCCTGATATTTCTTCTTTCTTAAAGACAGTTGCTTTAACTACAAATAACTTCTATTTGAAGAAGAGTTGCCTTCATTTCGAATATTAAAGAATTGAATTGAAAATCAACACGTTCTAAAATTGCTGTCTCCACAAATAAAATTTATTTAGAATTAATGATTTTTTTAATTTTATATTATTATATAAAAATAATATAGGTTTATAATTAAAAAATATATTTATTACACATTAATATTAATATGTATTTAATCTGTCTCAAAATAATTATTTTTTTTATTTTTTAAGATAAATAAATATTTATAATAATTAATTCTATTAATATCCATTTATTTAGATTAATTATT